GCTGGAAGAGCTCCTGGGGGGGGGGGGGGTGTCAGGGAGGGGCTCCCAGTGCTTCCCAGTGCATCCCAATACATCCCAGTGCATCCCAGTGCTTCCCAGTGCATCCCAGTGCTCCCAATACATCCCAGTGCATCCCAGTGCATCCCAGTGCTCCCAATACATCCCAGTGCATCCCAGTGCTTCCCAGTGCATCCCAGTGCTCCCAATACATCCCAGTGCATCCCAGTGCTCCCAATACATCCCAGTGCTTCCCAGTGCTCCCAATACATCCCAGTGCATCCCAATACATCCCAGTGCTTCCCAGTGCATCCCAGTGCTTCCCAATACATCCCAGTGCATCCCAGTGCTCCCAATACATCCCAGTGCATCCCAGTGCTTCCAATACATCCTAGTGCATCTCAATGCTCCCAATACATCCCAGTGCATCCCAGTGCTTCCCAATACATCCCAGTGCTTCCCAGTGCATCCCAATACATCCCAGTGCTCCCAGTGAATCCCAGTGCTCCCAATACATCCCAGTGCTTCCCAATACATCCCAGTGCATCCCAGCGCTCCCAATACATCCCAGTGCTTCCCAATGAATCCCAGCACATCCCCACTGCTCCCCAGTGCATCCCAGTGCATCTCCATGTATCCCATCCCGCTCTATCCCATTGTTCCCATTGTATCCTGGTCCATCCCAAACCATTGCTCCCGTTCCATTCCACTCTATCCCATTGCTCCCGGTCCATCCCAATCCCTCCCATTGTATCCCGCTCCACCCCGCTCCATCCCATTATATCCCGCTCCATCCCGCTCCATTCCATTACATCCCATTATATCCCGCTCCATCCCATTATATCCCATTACATCCCATTATATCCCATTGTATCCCACTCCATCCTGCTCCCTCCCGCTCCATCCCATTATATCCCATTATAATCCATTATATCCCGCTCCATCCCGCTCCATCCCATTCCATCCCATTATATCCCGCTCCATCCCCCTGCTCCATATCATTCCATCCCATTCCATCCCGCTCCATCCTATTCCATCCCGCCCCATCCCGCTCTATCCCGCCCCATCCCATTCCATCCCATTCCATCCCGTTCCCTCCCTCCCCATCCCGCTCCATCCCGCCCTATTCCACTCCATCCCTTCCATCCTGCCCCATCCCATTCCATCCCATCCCATTCCATCCCGCTCCATCCTACTCCATCCCGCCCCATCCCGCTCCATCCCATTATATCCCATTATATCCCGCTCCATTCCATTATATCCCATTATATGCCATTATATCCCATTATATCCCACTCCATCCCGCTCCATCCCATTATATCCCGCTCCATCCCGCTCCATTCCATTCCATCCTATTCCATCCCACCCCATCCCGCCCCATCCCATTTCATCCCATTCCATCCCGCTCCGTCCCTACCCATCCCATCCCATCCCGCCCCATCCCGCTCCGTCCCTCCCCATCCCGCTTCATCCCGCTCCATCACATCCTATCCCGTTCCCTCCCTCCCCATACCGCTCCATCCCTCCCCATCCCATCCCATCCCCATCCCGTTCCCTCCCTCCCCATCCCATCCCATCCCATCCCGCTCCATCCCATCCCATCCCGTCCCATCCGGCTCCCGCACCTCCACCAGCCGGATCTCCTTTGCCAGCTCCCGGATGAGCTGCCCCGGCCGCACGGTGTCGGGGATCTCGTGCTCGTGCTCCCCCAGCACCTGGGGGGAGAGGGGGGGAACGGGCTCAAACTGGGGTGACCCCCCCCGAACACCCCCCATGGGTAACCCCCCCCCCCCCGAGCCGGGACCCCAAAAACCCTCCCATAGCCCCACAGACCCCAATATCCCCCTATAGCCCCCCATAGACCACAGTATCTCCCTATAGCCCCCATAGACCCCAATAGCCCCCCATAGACCCCAATAGCCCCCATAGACCCCAATAGCCCCCCATAGCCCCCCAATATCCCCCTATAGCCCCTCATAGACCCCAATATCCCCCTATAGCCCCCATAGCCTCCCAATATCCCCTATAGCCCCCATAGACCCCAATAGCCCCCCATAGAACCCAATAGCCCCAATAGCCCCCCAATATCCCCTATAGCCCCCATAGACCCCCAATATCCCCCTATAGCCCCCCCATAGCCCCCCAACATCCCCCTATAGCCCCTCATAGACCCCAATATCCCCCTATAGCCCCCCAATATCCCCCTATAGGCCCCATAGACCCCAGTATCTCCCTATAGCCCCCATAGACCCCAATAGCCCCCCATAGACCCCAATATCCCCCAATAGCCCCCCAATATCCCCCTATAGCCCCCCATAGACCCCAATATCCCCCGATAGCCCACCAATATCCCCCTATAGCCCCCATAGCCCCCCAACATCCCCCTATAGCTCCCATAGACCCCCAATATCCCCCTATAGTCCCCCAATATCCCTCTATAGCCCCCCAATATCCCCCTACAGCCCCCATAGTCCCCAATGACCTATCTATACCCCCCAAGCCCCCCCAATATCCTCCATTGTGCCCTACAGTCCCCCCAAATCACCCCACAGACCCCTATAGCCCCCCAACATCCCCCCATAGCCCCCAACATCCCCCAACATCCCTAGGGGCACCCCCCCCCCCAAACCTGGCTGCACCCAACACCACCCCCCCATATCCCCCCATAAACCCCCCTTAACCCCATGGGGACCCCCCCATCACCCCAAACCCCCCCACTTTGGGGTCCCCCCCCCACCTCTTTGCGGGTCCAGGCCCGGAACGCAGCCGTAAGCGCCTTGGCCCCATGCACCAGGTAAGCAGCCGGGTGCCGCCGGTTCTCCCGCAGCCCTGGGGGCACCCCAATACATGGGAACCCCCCCACACCAGCACAGGGGCCCCAGGAGCACCCCAAAATGGGCTGGGACCCAAAGAACCCCCCCTTAATGGCAATGGGATGGCCCAAAATGGGCTGGGACCCAAAGAACCCCCCCCAAATGGCAATGGGATGGCCCAAAAGGAGCTGGGACCCAAAGAACCCCCCCCAAATGGCAATGGGATGGCCCAAAATGGGCTGGGACCCAAAGAACCCCCCCAAATGGCAATGGGATGGCCCAAAAGGAGCTGGGACCCAAAGAACACCCCCCCCAATGGCAATGGGATGGCCCAAAATGGGCTGGGACCCAAAGAACCCCCCCCCTCAAATGGCAATGGGATGGCCCAAAATGGGCTGGGACCCAAAGAACCCCCCCCAAATGGCAATGGGATGGCCCAAAAGGAGCTGGGACCCTAAGAACCCCCCCCAAATGGCAATGGGATGGCCCAAAATGGGCTGGGACCCAAAGAACCCCCCCCAAATGGCAATGGGATGGCCCAAAAGGAGCTGGGAGCCAAAGAACACCCCCCCCAATGGCAATGGGATGGCCCAAAATGGGCTGGGACCCAAAGAACCCCCCCCCCAATGGCAATGGGATGGCCCAAAAGGAGCTGGGACCCAAAGAACCCCCCCCCCTCAAATGGCAATGGGATGGCCCAAAATGGGCTGGGACCCAAAGAACCCCCCCAAATGGCAATGGGATGGCCCAAAAGGAGCTGGGACCCAAAGAACCCCCCCCAAATGGCAATGGGATGGCCCAAAAGGAGCTGGGACCCAAAGAACCCCCCCCAAATGGCAATGGGATGGCCCAAAAGGGGCTGGGACCCAAAGAACCCCCCCCCCAATGGCAGTGGGATGGCCCAAAAGGAGCTGGGACCCAAAGAACCCCCCCCAAATGGCAATGGGATGGCCCAAAATGGGCTGGGACCCAAAGAACCCCCCCCCTCAAATGGCAATGGGATGGCCCAAAATGGGCTGGGACCCAAAGAACCCCCCCCAAATGGCAATGGGATGGCCCAAAAGGGGCTGGGACCCAAAGAACCCCCCCTTAATGGCAATGGGATGGCCCAAAATGGGCTGGGACCCTAAGAACCCCCCCTTAATGGCAATGGGATGGCCCAAAATGGGCTGGGACCCTAAGAACCCCCCCTTAATGGCAATGGGATGGCCCAAAATGGGCTGGGACCCTAAGAACCCCCCCTTAATGGCAATGGGATGGCCCAAAATGGGCTGGGACCCAAAGAACCCCCCCTTAATGGCAATGGGATGGCCCAAAAGGAGCTGGGACCCAAAGAACCCCCCCCAAATGGCAATGGGATGGCCCAAAAGGAGCTGGGACCCAAAGAACCCCCCCCAAATGGCAATGGGATGGCCCAAAATGGGCTGGGACCCAAAGAACCCCCCCCAAATGGCAATGGGATGGCCCAACAGGAGCTGGGAGCCAAAGAACACCCCCCCCAATGGCAATGGGATGGCCCAAAATGGGCTGGGACCCAAAGAACCCCCCCCCCCAATGGCAATGGGATGGCCCAAAATGGGCTGGGACCCAAAGAACCCCCCCAAATGGCAATGGGATGGCCCAAAAGGGGCTGGGACCCAAAGAACCCCCCCCAAATGGAAATGGGATGGCCCAAAATGGGCTGGGACCCAAAGAACCCCCCCCAAATGGCAATGGGATGGCCCAAAAGGAGCTGGGACCCAAAGAACCCCCCCCAATGGCAATGGGATGGCCCAAAATGGGCCCCAGAACCCCCACGGGACCCCCAAAGATGAGGTTGGGACCCCCCCCAAAAGGCCCCAGTATGAGGTTGGGACCCCCAAAGATGAGGATGGGACCCCCAGGACCCCCATGGGGACCCCCAGGACCCCCATGGGACCCCCAAAGATGAGGTTGGGGATCCCCAAAGATGAGATTGAGACCCCCAAGACCCCCATGGGATCCCCCAAGATGAGGATGGGGACCCCCAGGACCCCCAAGATGAGGATGGGACCCCCAAGACCCCCATGGGACCCCCAAAGATGAGGATGGGGACCCCTGAAGATGAGGTTGAGACCCCCAGGACCCCCATGGGACCCCCCGAGATGAGGTTGGGAACCCCATGGGACCCCCAAAGATGAGGTTGAGACCCCCATGGGACCCCCAAGATGAGGTTGGGACCCCCATGGGACCCCCAAAGATGAGGTTGAGACCTCCAGGACCCCCATGGGACCCCCCGAGATGAGGTTGGGGACCCCCGAGATGAGGTTGGGACCCCCAAGACCCCCATGGGACCCCCAAAGATGAGGTTGGGACCCCCAAAGATGAGGATGGGGACCCCCAAAGATGAGGTTGGGACCTCCAGGACCCCCAAAGATGAGGTTGGGACACCCCGGACCCCCATGGGACACCCAAGATGAGTTTGGGACCCCCATGGGACCCCCAAAGATGAGGTTGGGACCCCCAAAGATGAGGTTGAGACCCCCAGGACCCCCATGGGACCCCCAAAGATGAGGTTGGGACCCCCAAGACCCCCATGGGGACCCCCAAAGATGAGGTTGAGACCCCCAAGACCCCCATGGGACCCCCAAAGATGAGGTTGGGACCCCCAAGGCCCCCACAGAACCCCCAAAGATGAGGATGGGGACCCCCAAGACCAACATGGGACCCCCAAGATGAGGTTGGGACCCCCAAGATGAGGATGGGACCCCCAAGACCCCCATGGGATCCCCAAAGATGAGGTTGGGACCCCCAAGATGAGGTTGGGACCCCCAGGACCCCCATGGGATCCCCCAAGATGAGGTTGGGAACCCCATGGGACCCCCAAGATGAGGTTGGGACCCCCATGGGACCCCCAAAGATGAGGTTGAGACCTCCAGGACCCCCATGGGACCCCCGAGATGAGGTTGGGGACCCCCAAGACCCCCATGGGATCCCCAAAGATGAGGTTGGGACCCACAAGACCCCCATGGGATCCCCAAAGATGAGGTTGGGACCCACAGGACCCCCATGGGACCCCCAAGATGAGGTTGGGACCCCCGAGATGAGGTTGGGACCCCCATGGGACCCCCAAGATGAGGATGGGACCCCCAAGACCCCCATGGGACCCCCAAGATGAGGATGGGACCCCCAAGACCCCCATGGGACCCCCAAAGATGAGGTTGAGACCCCCAGGACCCCCATGGGACCCCCAAAGATGAGGTTGGGACCCCCAAGACCCCCATGGGACCCCCAAGACCCCCATGGGACCCCCGAGATGAGGTTGAGACCCCCAGGACCCCCATGGGACCCCCAAAGATGAGGTTGAGACCCCCAGGACCCCCATGGGACCCCCAAAGATGAGGTTGAGACCTCCAGGACCCCCATGGGACCCCCCGAGATGAGGTTGGGGACCCCCGAGATGAGGTTGGGACCCCCAAGATGAGGTTGGGACCCCCAAGACCCCCATGGGACCCCCAAAGATGAGGTTGAGACCCCCAAGACCCCCACAGGACCCCCATGGGACCCCCAAAGATGAGGATGGGGACCCCCAAAGATGAGATTGAGACCCCCAAGACCCCCATGGGACCCCCGAGATGAGGTTGGGACCCCCAGGACCCCCATGGGACCCCCGAGATGAGGTTGAGACCCCCAGGACCCCCATGGGACCCCCGAAGATGAGGTTGGGACCCCCAAGACCCCCATGGGACCCCCAAGATGAGGTTGGGGACCCCCGAGATGAGGTTGGGACCCCCAAGACCCCCATGGGACCCCCAAAGATGAGGTTGGGGACCCCCAAGATGAGTTTGGGACCCCCCAGGATGAGGTTGGGACCCCCAAGACCCCCATGGGACCCCCGAGATGAGGTTGGGGACCCCCGAGATGAGGTTGAGACCCCCAGGACCCCCATGGGACCCCCAAGATGAGGATGGGGACCCCCGAAGATGAGGTTGGAACCCCCAGGACCCCCATGGGACCCCCGAGATGAGGTTGGGACCCCCACGGGAGCGGGGGTGAGGCCCCCACCTCGGAAGGTGTCCAGCAGGTGCCTCCCCACGAACCAGCAAACGGCCTCGAAGTTGGGGAACTTGAAGAGGGGGGCGGGGCTGAGGCGGCGCTCGATCTCATAGGCCCTGGGGGGGGGAGGGGAGGGGAGCATGGGGGGCACCCAACAGCACCCAATGGGCACCCAACGGCACCCAACAGCATCCTATGGGCACCCAACGGCACCCAACAGCATCCTATGGGCACCCAACGGCACCCAACAGCATCCCATGGGGACCCAACAGCACCCAATGGGCACCCAACAGCACCCAATGGCACCCAACAGCACCCAATGGCACCCAACAGCACCCAACAGCACCCAATGGGCACCCAACGGCACCCAACAGCACCCATTGGGTACCCCACTGCACCCAACAGCACCCAATGGCATCCCATGGGGACCCAACAGCACCCATTGGGTACCCCACTGCACCCAACAGCACCCAATGGCATCCCATGGGGACCCAACAACACCCAATGGGCACCCAATGGGCACCCAATGGCACTCAACAGCACCCATTGGGTATCCCACTGCACCCAACTGCATCCATTTGGTACCCCAATGCACCCAACAGCATCCCATGGGCACCCAACAGCACCCAACAGCATCCCATGGGCACCCAACAGCACCCAACAGCATCCCATGGGCACCCAATGGCACCCAACAGCACCCATTGGGTACCGCACTGCACCCAACAGCATCCCATGGGCACCCAACAGCATCCCATGGGCACCCAACAGCATCCCATGGGCACCCAGTAACACCCCACGGCACCCAACAGCATCCCATGGGCGCCCCATGGCACCCTATGGACACCCAACAGCACCCCATGGGCACCCAACAGCCCCCTATGGTCACCCTATGGCACCACAGAGTCACCCAATGGCACCCCCCAAAACCCTACACAGCCCCCTAAAACCCCCCAACCCCCCCCCCCAAGCCCCCCAAGCCCCCCCCGAGCCCCACTTGAGCTGCATGTCGATGTTGAGGCTGTGCAGGAAGTTCCCCCCAAAGGCCAAGCAGTCGACGGGGGTCAGCACGGCGTGGATCCAGCCTGCGGGACAGGGGATGTGTGGGGCAGGACAGGGGATGTGTGGGGCAGCACACGGGATGTGTGGGGCAGGAACACGGGATGTGTGGGGCAGCACATGGGACGTGTGGGGCAGGACGGGATGTGTGGGGCAGGACAGGGGATGTGTGGGGCAGAACACAGGATGTGTGGGGCAGCACACAGGATGTGTGGGGCAGCACATGGGATGTGTGGGGCAGGACAGGGGATGTTTGGGGCAGCACACAGGATGTGTGGGGCAGGACAGGGGATGTGTGGGGCAGGACACGGGATGTGTGGGGCAGGACAGGGGATGTTTGGGGCAGAACACGGGATGTGTGGGGCAGCACACGGGATATGTGGGGCAGCACACGGGATGTGTGGGGCAGGACAGGGGATGTGTGGGGCAGGACAGGGGATGTGTGGGGCAGCACACGGGATGTGTGGGGCAGGACAGGGGATGTTTGGGGCAGCACACGGGATGTGTGGGGCAGGACACGGGATGTGTGGGGCAGGACAGGGGATGTGTGGGGCAGGACACGGGATGTGTGGGGCAGGACAGGGGATGTTTGGGGCAGCACACGGGATGTGTGGGGCAGGACAGGGGATGTTTGGGGCAGCACACGGGATGTGTGGGGCAGGACACACGGGATGTGTGGGGCAGCACACGGGATGTGTGGGGCAGCACACGGGATGTGTGGGGCAG